ACCAGTGACTTGGAGTGAACTGCATCAAAACCAACGCAGGATCAGATTCAACGCAGGCGGTCTAATATGACATGCAGTTTTGTACTGAGCCGCGCCAACGATAGCTTACCGCTGTGGTCGATCTGAGTTAGCGTACCAGTTGAATTTGAGCGTGCAGTTGCTGTCCGCTGAGAGTTGTCGGAATTTGGTACTGAAAAGAAAGATGATGTGCGTAAAACGGAAGAAGTCGATCGCCATTATCTGTTCGTTGGCAGGACAGAACAGGTGATAAAACTACGTATATATGATGTTTGTATGCACAGTTGGGCTGCGTAGAGGTTCATTTTCTTTTCCTGTCCCTAAAAATAGGCCCAATCTCTGTTCTCCTTACACGTTCTCACTTATATTGTATGCATTGAGTTTGGCAACGATCAATGAAGTTCGCTTCACTGTATTACGCTGTACAATGATTATGATGATGATGCATATAATGTTGGCTGGAGCGCATGTAATCTAATTGGTTTCCCATACGTGATCTTGTCCAAGGCGAGAAGTGCGTGGTAAAAACTCGAAGATGGTCACATTAGGGCTTGACGTGGAAACCCTGACTAGAGTACTAGGGCATATAAGTCATGCTAGGCTTTTGAATTGGGAATTTCGGATGTGTAATCGACTGAGAGCAACTGAACGATTTGAATGAGTGCCGCATCGGTGCTCGTGCATCTACGCAAAAACCTCAACCTTAGTTTGCCTAGATCTAGATATTTCTCTTATTACTGTTTCCGCCACTCAAATTTCTCTTTATTCCCTTACCATATGGATAGCAAGAAGATACCAAACGAATCACCAGTGCGAAAACGCAATTTTATTGTTTGCACAAACTGAAACTGTAGCAAGCCAAATATTTCACCCAGGCAGTGGGTTTATGATTATAAATTCTTCCTCATTGTCTATATCCACAGAAAATGTAAAAACATTTCAACAACCAATATGTGAAATGTGTAGCATGATTTGAAAAGTTAATTAGCGGTGAGAGCTGGTCACGCATTAAATTAGCAACGGCGTGATCACGGCCTACAAATATATACGGATCTGATTTCACACCGATCGATTTCATTATAATCATAATCTTGCAATGAAAGTGACTCAAATGTCGGTTTTGCAAGCCTAAAATTATTCAGTTTAGATCTGGTGATTCAAAATGCAGAGAAACAATTTCGGCACATCCGCTCAAAGATAAAAAGGAACGGTCGTTGGGTCGCTGGGCTATCATGCATGAGCATCACTGGTCGCTTGTCAGAGATCATTCGTAAGTGAGCGAGAAGAAAGCGTCGTTTGTCCAACTCAATGATGACCTAGGTTTTTTCCAAATGCTACAAGGGCATCATGCAGTGACGTGTTTATTTTTTCATCCCCTGGAACGGTTATGGTTGTCTACTTGGTAAATAATTTAGGAATGATTGGTAGTGAAGCGGAAGGCAGTACAAAGATGAAACGGTAAACTGAATGCGTGGAAGGCGAGTCGATGCAGATCTATGAAGACATTCTTCAATACGACCCAGACGATAAAGATTATTGTACCGCGATTTGTTTGGCACAGTCTGAACTCAGACGTGTGTGAAACATGCATATTTAGAAGAGTTTGTAGTGGGAAAGGTACATTTGCAGAGAGAGTTGATGCTGTCAGTACAAATCGGACACTTGTCGGCTCGACTGAGGGATACCTCAACGATGGCAGATACTGACATGTTCATGATGATAACTAACCCTTAATAATCAAAATTGAGCATGTGCTGTAACCCTCGCATAATTACATATGGAGAGGTGCCCCGGTGCGCCCCGAGAATGCCACTTTAAACAATCTAAATCTGCATCACCGCGGCAATATTTAGCTAGTCAAGCCGATATCGCTTACCAGAGCAAAGTTTGCCTATGCAGAATGGATTTACCCAAAAACGATGCACTATTCAGGCACTAGCAGGAAACCACATTATGGGCTAGTTCATTTACGAGAAAAACGGAAGCTGGTGAGAGTAAGGCAGTTGTTCGGCAACATCAACGTGCTGCAATGCGCCAGGGAAAATGGAGGGCTTTTTTCCTTGAAACGGCATAGACGACTGATCTTTGTGAATTGGGCTTTTCAAAATTTCTAATACATCGCTGCCGACGGATTTTCAACATTAAATTGCCTCTTTAACGGGCTCTTACTTGACAGATGCAGAACTCTTAGGCACCGGAAAGAAACGACAGGGAAAAAACAGCAATTTCACACCGCATAACTGGACTGCTCATAGTGAAAAAGGACCAATTGGAATACAATCAACCTACCTGTCCAGCTGACATATAGCACGTCTTTGCGGCAGAGTTGACGATTTGATCAATACCTTGCATTGCAAAATTGAAAGTCATGAATTCACAGATAGGTTTGAGCCCAGCCATTGCTGCACCCACGGCGACACCTGCGAAACCCATCTACTGGCAATTAGAGTGCAATCATTAATACCTCAGTAATTGGGGTATCTATTACACGATCATCACCAAACATTTTCCAAAGACCTTTCGTCACCTAAAGAATAAAAGCATACGCAGAACGCAAATACCTTATAGGCGCCGTCGTACTGCGCGACCTCCTCTCCGAGGATGATGACATCTTTATCTCGTTCCATTTCTTCCTTCATAGCAGAATTGAGAGCGTCGCGTACGGTGAGCTTGGCAGCATTCAAACTGGCCGAAGTACTCAAAAACCGCCCTGCGCCGGCCGAAAGGCATTTCTAACATGAAGGTGGAAAATGAACCGAACAATGCTAACGAACCTGAAAAGAAGGAGCGAGAGCGAGTCGGCCTAGCATCTTTAAACTATCTCTTCCTAGTAGTACGTTAAAACAAACTAGTAAAACAAGAATGGTCGCGGTAGGTCAAATTCAAACTGAAATTCAAATCACAGGACGTTGGGTGTCCAGGTAATAGCGGGTTCCGTCCGTGGACTGACTCGACTGCAAGTGTAATACTGTTTCCGACACTCACGGTGCAAGAACCTGAACTCAAATTGGTCAGGTCAGGTTGCACAGGACTGATAATGGCCACGGCCAATCGAGCGTCCAGATTTCACAAGGTGTGCACCCACCCCTGCGAATTACTTTCAGTACGGCGTCCTTGCTGAAGGGGAAAAGAAAAAGCT